CGGCGCGCGTCGGAGAAACGGAGCCGCCCGCCGTCCCGGAGTGAAATCTGCAGAAATCCCGGGCTTCAGGGGGACAGAAATTCGTGAGGCTTGTGCTTGCCATCTGCGGTCGGAGGGCGACAGAAGGGCGAAACGCTCCTTTTTTAAGGTCAGGTAATATTACAGCTCCTCCATATTCACCTTGAGAGTTTCCTCCTCTTTTTTTTTTTTCCTTCTCTCCACATCTTCACGGCACAAATTAGGGACATTTCTCGAGAATTAAAAGGATTTTAAGAGGTGACCGGAGATACCCTGCGCAGCCGGAACGTATCCAGAACAACCGTAATCAACGTACTCCTCTCTGCGCTCGGGACGAAGCCTAACGAGCGCAGGGTAGACGATCCCTCGCCGAGCCGCTAACCCTCCCTTCCGAAGCCTCTGCCAGCCGGGAGCCGGGCGGTGTTTCATCCCGATTTGTTCCGGCAATTTGAGGTTGCGGGTTGTTTATTTTTCATTTTCCTCCCGTGCTGTTGGTAAACACGACGGAGCCAAGCGCTTCCCACAAACACGGCGCTGAAAGGAACGAGCGTGCCCCAGACCGCAGGAGCTCTCGGATCCACGCTTGTCCCGGCGCCAGGGGAATTCAGGCGCACGTGTTTTCACACAAAAAGGTGGCAAAGCGGCTGTTAAAAAGCAAGAACGCGCCTAAACACTTCCCTTTCCCCTCATCCTAAATCTGTCCGGCTCCACAGCAGCGCCAAACCCACGGGTTTAATCATCTTAAGGATCCGTGGGCCGCAAAAGGGTAGGCGGCCTCCAAAGTTCACGTTTCCTGCTGGAGAATCCAGACTTGAGCAAAACGGCGGCGATTCCCAGGACACGGAGCAGCCGTCGGGGAGGGAAACTTCCCCAAATATCGACACGGGCCGTCCCGCGCTCGCGCGGGAGGCAGGACACGTCCTCGGAGGCGCGCAGAGGCACCCTTCATCTATTAAAAGGTCTTTTGGGTGCTCGTGAAAAGCCGTACGCTCGCCTCCGCTCTGGGGATGCCTTTTTCTCGGGCGATCCCGCTCCTGAAGCGGCTTTCAAAGGACGCAGGCGCGGCTCTTGTCTTTTAAAAAAAAAACACCAACACGTCGCAGCTCTTCAGGCTCTAGGTTTCCCAACGTAAAAGAAAAGGACATTCAATACTCACGTCACTCGCCGGCGCTTCTCGGATCGCTTGGTCGCTGCCTCGCTAGCCTCAGAAGGGGAACAGCGACAGGGCCTCCAGGCCCCCCCCCGCCGAGGGTTTCGGCGTTCGCAGGCACAAACGGTAAAGGGAACCGAAACGCGACGCGTGGCCGTTTTCGCTCATTTTTTGCAGTTCCGAGCGCGTCGCTCCGCCAGGCAGCTGCGCCAGCGCCAGGGACCGTGAAAATTCAGCTTTTACAGCTGCAGAGCCTCTCGCCTCCACGGGGAGGGGAGCCGGGCCGAGGGGCCAGCCCGCCCGCAGGCACCCGCGACCCGAGGCAGGGATTTATCCCCCCAGTTAAGTCCTTCCAGCCCTCGGGAATCTCTCTCTTTCCACCCCCGGAGGAAAACAAAGGCTGCAGGAGCCGTTTCCCTCTCCCCTCGCCACAGCTAACGAGGAAGCGAGGGCTAACGAAGCATTTTTGAGAGGAACGGTGGGACGCTACCCGCCTACCGACAGGCAACCTCGGCCCCGGTCGAGCAGGAGCTGCACCCCTGGCGCCGGCTTTTCCAGGAGAAAAACCAAAATAAACAGCGTACTTCAAGGGAGGTTAGGGAACTGTGAAGAACTTTTTCATTAA